ACACGATAACTGATACACTCCTAGTGACACGCCACCGCGTAACACACGCCCCCCCCCCCCCCCCCCCCCCCTCAAGTTCGAAAGTCTTAAAAAAGTTAAATAATTAACCCCTTTATCAAAAACTATCCAAGCTAGGTTTAAACATTATTTTTCATTTTTTATATTGGATAGTTTTCAAAAACTTATCGTTATTATACATGCTTATTGGTTACTGTGAAAAATCCGTGTATTTTTATTAGTTATTGAATAATGGCAAATAGGAAATGCGAGTGAAAAATTAATAAATGTAATAAATGGAAGATTTAAAATTTAAATTTTGTTGAATCAAGAATCAGCTAACAATGCCCGCAAAATAATTACAAACACTTTAACAAATTCAAATTAATAACTACAGTATTGCCCTCCAATCAAAATGCTGCTACCAACCAAGTGCAAAATCATTTTTGAATGCATAATAATTTTATTTTAGGTTTTATCCATCTCTTGAATATTAGTTTTACAGACAGTTATAAATAATTTAATACACTTATTTGCTGAATTCGTTTCAGACCAATTATTTACACGTATTATTAAAAAAACTCGATTTAGAGTTGTATTGGGTAGCACAAAAATATTATCTTTTATGTAGCGCAAATAGACTTTTAAAACAAAGTAGTGTTTCACAAAACAAAGAATTTTTTAAAACTTGAACTAATTATCATTATCCAAAAGAACGTAAATACCATAAAAAAGTATTAAAATTTAAAGATTCAACTCTATTTTACATTACCAAAAGGTTTATAAAAAGTTCTCGAGAAATTACGCGCTAAAAAATTAACCGTATACATATACATGTAATAAACTAGTTTTATTTTTCTATTTAGAAGTGAAGCCACAGCATGTATGCACTGCCCTCTGAATCTACATAATATTACATATACATGTATAAATACAAACTAAAAACTAACTGAGCAAAAAAAATTTAAAATGAACACTTTAAAAATAATAATAATATTTTCGTTAATATGCACTGTCAATATTTTAGCTCAAAAATCGTATGTAAGACTAATGTGCTCGTTAATTACAATATTTAATTCTAATTTGAGCATGATGTTTTAGTGCTACAACTACGGTTATCACGACGACGTCGGCTATCATACAATCAACTGGAGGTGGGGATAGCAGCAGCATACCCACCACACAATATAACGGAAGTATCGGTAATAATAATGGAAATATTAATGGAAATAATAATGGAGGCGGATTTAAAAAGCCATTTGCAACAGTATCTATTGCTCCCCCAACATTTACAAATCCGAATCAAGGCAACAATCCTACCATTGCTCCAAAACCTATTTCAACTGGGAATGTAGCTGGAGCGGCTGTTCCTGCGGCTACAACTACGCAAAACCCGCAAAATATACTTCCCAATTTTCCGTCTCCTACGAGTTCAAGGTAAATCTTGTATCAATTAAAATTAAAAGTAAAATAATTATTATAATCTACAAACTTTATAGTAGAATATTTTCTTGAAATATGATCTTTTTTCAAAAACTGAAGAATGTTCTATTAATACTATTTAATTTTTGTTCGGAAAACAGCGGTAATAATAATAATCAACAAAATCCATTACAAGCCAATGCCGGAAATAATTCACCTGCATCAGTTACTAATAGCTATCAGCCAAATTCACAGCAAGTCAATGCAGGAAATAATTCACCAGCATCAGCTACTAATAGTCATCAGCTAAATTCACAGCAAGTCAATGCCGGAAATAATTCACCTGCATCAGCTACTAATAGCTATCAGCCAAATTCACAGCAAGTCAATGCCGGAAATAATTCACCTGCATCAGCTACTAATAGCTATCAGCCAAATTCACAGCAAGTCAATGCCGGAAATAATTCACCTGCATCAGCTACTAATAGCTATCAGCCAAATTCACAGCAAGTCAATGCCGGAAATAATTCACCTGCATCAGCTACTAATAGCTATCAGCCAAATTCACAGCAAG